ACGTTCTTTTACTTAGGTGAAAATGGCATGTTTACCTAGAATTTTGATAAATCTGTTGACCAAATAGATGGTATCTATCTAGAAGTTACAGCTTTAGCTACGATATCAGAGAACAGCCAATCACAATGAATATGTTAACAGAAAGACATCTCGAAAGATGTTAGCTGATTTGTTTGTTTTTGAATTTCGCTCAAAGCTACACGAGGGCTATCTGCGCCAGCCATCCCTAATTTAGCAGTGAAAGACTAGAGGGAAGGCAGCTAGTCATCACTTCCCACCGCTAACTCTTGGACAACGAATAGTGGGATTGACCGTCACCTTATAACGACGTCTGGCTGAAAGGGCGAGCATGTTTGGTGTGACGGGGATCCGAGCCCGTAACCCTCAGATGATGCTGGCTGAACAACTGTCTACGTAACTATGCACACTGTTGCCTTTGCATATAATAAAGATTGTATTTCACTTAACATCATTTATACAGTCTGTTTATTTTCTTAGCTTAAACTCAGTGGTTTAGTTTAACTCGGATACTTTACAATTTTACCGATCGATTTTCCCATTATTTAACAGACCTATCAAATACTCATTGAGAAATCAGTTACACCAGAGAATACCGCAGAGTAAGTAAAAAGGGGAGATTTTGATGTCATGACCATAGAATTTATTGTATAGTTTTCCGTTTTTACTAACGTGCATATTGGCACTTACTTGATTTCTTGAGTTTAAATTCTCGAGGTGCAATTATTCTTGACCAAAATGGAAAACTTTGCCACCAGAGAGAGAGAGGTTTAAGGTTCAGGTTGGAAAAGAAAAATCCTGCAGTGGCGCCTGTAGTAGCTGCACCTCAGACTGACTAACCTACTAGGTACTTCGACCATGTCAAGCTAGAACCACACTGAAGGTTAACCAGCTATACACACACATTCTAATACTGCATTGTAACCACATCGGTTTCCATGTCTACCTATAATGTACATGTGGATGAGAGGAATGAACTGGTTATACTTTGCCTAACAAACAATGGTCTTGTAAAGGAAACAAAAATTTACTTCGAATGTAAAATGATCTCTCTAAGCCTACATTATGTAAAATGATCTATATAAGCCTACCTTATGTAAAATGATCTCTCTAAGCCTACCTTATGTAAAATGATCTATATACGCCTATCTTATGTAAAATGATCTATCTAAGCCTACCTTATGTAAAATGATCTATCTAAGCGTACCTTATGTAAAATGATCTATCTAAGCCTACCTTATGTAAAATGATCTCTCTAAGCCTACCTTATGTAAAATGATCTATATAAGCCTACCTTATGTAAAATGATCTATCTAAGCCTACCTTATGTAAAATGATCTATCTAAGCCTACCTTATGTAAAATGATCTATCTAAGCCTACCTTAGCTTGGTCAATGAAAAACATTTCTTTTCCTATCATATGGCAACATCATGATTCAAATAATTTGTTAAATAAAGATGCAGTCTTTTCACAAGCTTTAAAAAATCGGACCTATGGTTATGATGGAAGATATTCATAAACACACATATATATATAGATATTTTACAAGATACATGTCACCACACAAAGGTTTTATCAAATCGTTCCAGCCTCTGTGTGAATCTCCATTAAGTTGGAAGCATATTTAATGCAGAGAAATAGCCATCCAGTGAGAATTATCTATTTCCTCAACATTTCCCCTTACGGCTTTATCAAGAGCTGTACATCCTTCTGAACACAAGCCCACTCTTAACAGAACAAACAGCTGATTTAATTCAAAATAATACCCAGGTGCTCTTATCGTTATAATGGTTTCTATCATTGGGTGGGTTCTTGGGGATTAATAGGTAAAAGTCAAGTCAAGTCCATGTAATGATAATGAATTTATTATATTTCTTTAACGACGATCTGACAGAGCTATCTTCCCAATCACTCGTTAACTTTCATTGAGTAACCAACTAAAACTCTTTATCTGACACTGAACTGATGAATTAATTCTGGCATACTCACGCTGCCCTATTTCACAGAGTATTTTGCCCTATTTCACAGAGTATTCTGCTCTATTTCACAGAGTATTCTGCCCTATTTCACAGAGGTCTAAACTGTCATGAAAAGTTTAGATTTCACATAATCACTAC